AAAACTGGGTGTTATTCGAAGTAGTCAAAAATCGGCAGGTGTTGTAGTAGAAGATTCAGCAATACGGGATAAACTGTTAGCGTTAGAATGAGATTTTCTGGCACGGTGAACGACGGTGAAGGTATATTCCTGCAGGGCCAAAATCCAGCGAGCAAGATGTCCGTGATGTAGCTTGTGACGAAGCAAGGACTTGAGTGCAGAATGATCGGTTATAACAACGAAATAGGTACTGTGAAGATATTGTCAGAAGTGGGACATGGACCATATGATGGCCAGACACTCTTGTTCAGTCACTGAATAGTTGTGCTTAGCGGATGACATGCTACGACTAGTATAAGAAATGACCCTTTCTCTTCCTTGCAAATCTCTCTGGGAAAGAATTGCGCCAAGAGAGATTCCTGAAATGTTTGTGAAAAGCAAAAACTCTTGTGAAAAATTAGAGTAGGCAAAGACAGAGGCCGTGGTGAGCTTTTCTTTTAAGGCCTGAAAGGCGGTTTCCTGTTTGGACAATCATAGATACTTGACATCCTTTTTAAGAAGGAGAAGAAGTGGGGCAGCGATCTTTGAAAAATCATGAATAAACCTTCGATAGTAAGACGCCAGGCCCAGAAATCATCGCAACTATCACAGGATGGTAGGTACAGAAAAGCTATAAACAGCTTCCACCTTTCAGGGGTCAGTAGATACACCGTCGGAGCTAACAATATAGCCTAAAAATTTAAGTTCTCTTTTTGCAAAGTGACATTTCGTTGGACTTAAACGTAACCCTGTAGCCCGTAATCGAGAAAAAACCTCAGCTAGGTGAGAAAGATGAGTGTTGAAGGAAGGGGAAAAAATATTGATGTCGTCTAAATATACGACGACAAAAATTCCGTTGATGTCGCGAAAGATTCGATCTATAAGGCGCTGAAATGTAGCCAGGGCATTAGTAAGCCCAAAAGGCATAACGTTAAACTCATAAAGGCCATACTGAGAGATGAAGGCCGTCTTTTCACGATCTTTAAGGTCCATCTCAATTTGCCAATATCCACTAGCAAGGTCCAGCCAAGTATACCATGAGGAATTACTGAGAGTGTCAAGAAGATTGTCTATATGGGAGAGAGAATAACTATCTTTTCGGGTAATGGAGTTGAGTTTGCGGTAGTCGATGCAGAAACAGGTTTTATCTTTCTGCTTAACTAGAATAATGGGGAAGTCCAGGGACTCTCAGAGAGATGAATAACGTTGTCCTCGAGCATTCGATCGATCTCTTCCCTCAGAAATCTTTTTTTTTCCGGGGAAGTTCGGTATGCTCTCTGTCTGACGGGGACAGCATCTTCCGTGTGGATACAATGAGTGACCAAGTTGGTTCATCCTAAGTCCGGTGAAGTCCATGCAAATAAATCGTCATTATCAAAAAGAAATCCATTCATACGATCTTTCTTGTCTTCGTTTAACTCTCCAACGTCCAACTCTAAAGGGGAAGGCTCCAGTTCATCAAAAAAAAAATAGTCAGCTTCTTCAGGATCATCTTCATCGAAATCGAGAATATCGTCTTGTTCAGCTCCAAGATAATCTTCGTCACTATATAGATCCCACCAAGCTTCTCCTACTGAACCCCCAGGTTTATTGTATTAGGACAAGACAGATTCTTCATCGGAGTCATAATAAGAGCCCAAACCAATATTTTCAGAGAAGTCAAAAAGGTGTAGCATGTGAGCAGCAGAAGCGAATTCCACAGGGATCACTTCGTCATCATTCTCTTCTAGCTCAGAGTACCCGAAGAGCTGATCGTCTAACTCCTCCTCTTTATACTCACTACCAGATTCTTCCTCGGACCCAGAAGCTTCAACCTCTTCCTCCTCATGCTTCACGATTT